TTTTCCATCTTCATCGACATAATTTACTGTCACATCGGTTGCTACCTCGGGTTTATATGTCAGAGGCTGAATGATTTCCCCTGAAAAACCTGCTTCCCCAGTTCCCTTAGCATTATAATTAGCTCTTATCCAACTGGAATCTTCCCAATCTGCATAAATATTATCAGGATTAGATCTATCTAACTGCCAAGATAATATATCTGAATTCGGATCATAAGAACTTATTCCACTAAAAGAATCTATTCTACCTCCGTCAGGACGTCTTACTTGCGAACTTGCACTGACGATTTGTTGGGGAAATACCTCTTGCGAAGTTAATGTTATTTTTTGCTTAGTGGCAATGATAGTGGTAATTTGACTACCACTTAGGGAAGATAGATCCCTAATATGATTCATGGGGACAACTAAAGTTGTTACACGAGGCATATTTAAGAATTGACTAACATCCGTAATGTTATTACCTGCTAAACGAAGATAATATATTTTAGTAGAATATAAAGGAGAAATATCACTTATAGAATTAAAGTTCAAATTCACATCAGCATTTAAATTAACCGCATACTCTAACCCCTTTAATGATGAGATTCCCGAACTAGGTGCATCAAAAGATGTTAATTTCAACATATCATTTTGAGTAAGTGATTCAGCTGGAATATTTAATTTTTTTGAAACAGCAGCTTGTAAATTTTTATCAGGCATCCAAGAATCAATAGATTCATCAGAGACTGCCACTGATTGTGACTCCCCCTCTCCTGTATTAGAATCAACATCTGTTAAATTACTTTTAGTATCCTTGTTTTCAAAAGATTCTAGTTGGGGTTTTGTTACATCTGAAGCTAAAACTGAAATTGAATTATTTAAAGATCCAATTAGTAAGAGCGAACACATTAAACTTGGTATTACTTTTTTATTCATTGCGTTTTCCTTTGCTGATTATTCTAATTAAAACATCAAGGTCAACCTACAACTTTTAGAGTGCTGATAAAATATTAATTTTAATGACTCTTGTTTTTTTACTGAAATATAAAACAAAACATTGTAGGAAACAAAGTTCCAATTAATATCGTATCTAAAGCAAAAGCAGTGGTCATTTTTTCTATTCCTTTTTGATTTATATACTTTTATCAGAAAAACAATAATTTTTCGGATAAATAGAAATATGAGAGCATTGGTATCACTAACTTTAGATAATGAGGAGTTGTATTCCGTTATAATTGTCATTATTTAGAAATAGACTTGCACATAGTCGGAAGATAGGGTATAATTATGTCTGTAGTAAAAACCGTGCAACATGGCATTCAGAAAAATTATTGTTTTTCGTACTCTTTGTATAATTCCTATGGTTGAGCCAATTCTAATATAGAATCATTAACATCACTAATAATTTCATGACTTTTCACATAATAAGCATGCTGGTTATGAGTTGAGCCTAAAGTTTGAGCAAGCGTCCTTGTTTCTTTGTCAATCACACGTAAAACACCGTCTAACTCGACGATTAAAATGTTTTGATAATTTGATTGAGTATCCTTCACATTAGCGACTTATCCATTTGACAAGACAATTTGTTCTTCTTTCTTGTTCATTTTCTCTCTCCATTCGTAGCTATTTTGAGGTACAGTAAAAGACACCTGTATAATGCAAGTGTCTTGGTACAAAATTTCCCTATCCTTAAGAGATGATTTTGGTACTTGTAGTTTAATAAGAACCCCTTAAACAAACCTTAATTTGAAATAACTTGAAATATTAGAAATGTTTTGTTATGATAACACCCTACAGATTATCTGCATAACTTCCTTTGTCATTTCAAAAAATAATCTGTTTTTATCCACTAACACCTGTCGTTAGTGGTTTTTTTATTTTAGGAACATTAATGGCAAAAGTTTCCATTTCACAGTTTCTCAAACATCAACTTAACTGTAAGATTTGCTCCCTTGCGGCACATTCAAAAGACTACACAAACCATCCTAAAGATTTTACAAGAATTAGAAAACTTACTTTTGAAACGACGCTCAACCTTCTCCTATCGATGGGGAGCCAAATCCTTTCAAATGAATTATTGAGCTTTTTTACTTTTGGCAAATTGATAAAAAATAGAAGATAGTACTGATAAAATAAACCTATTCTTTCTTAACTTAATGACATTGAATTTTCTATTTTTTCATTTTTTCTTAAATAGCGAAATCACTAAGCTCCTTCCACACAATGAGATTAATAAAGTGATTTTGAATTCCGACTAAGTTATCAATCATTCCTTCAATTTCCTCATTAATTCTCTTTTGAAAGAGATGAGTGGCCTGGAGATTAACGGATAGAATTCCTGGTATTTTTTGTTCAGAGAAATTAAGAAAATGACACTCATTCATAAATGGAGGGAGATCTAAGAGGTTATCAAGAAAATATTCAATCGTAATTTTTTGAATTCCTTTCCTAAAGGGAGTACTTAAATCTGTGATTCCCTCTATTCCCTCAAAAATATTTTCTTCTTCAATTTTTTTGAAATCTTTTTCATAAACAGGAGCTTTAATTTTAGAAAGGGAATCTACCCATTTGTCCGCAATATCTTTGACCTGTTTTTCTTGTTTTTCTTTATCCGCTATTGACTCTATCCGATAATGTTTTGTAGGTGGAAAATACACATCCAATGGAATATTTGTGAGATAAGATTCAGGAAGGTCTGAAACTAAAAACTCATCTATTAGTGACTTGACCATATAGCCTATTTTAAAAATGCTATTTTTCTTTAACTTTTTAATACACTCAGGGATAATTAATTCTGAAAAATCATGATTAAGCCAATCGTTGACCTTTTTATTGATTCGATTGTAGTAGAATTTCTCATCTTGCTCGCTAAACACGGAATAAATGACTTTTTCTTTGAATGAAGCTAAAAATCTTTCTTTACACAGTTTCCATAGAATAGTGGACATTGTCAAAAATCAATTGGATTCTCTTCTATCCGTGCTTGAGGAGTTTCTTTTCTTAGGTCATACCACCTTCCAAAATCCGCAAAGGTATAGTAAAGGGTAAGGAGTGAATCTTTAACCTGTTGAGATGGAGTACTTTTAGGTGGCTTAATTCTTAATCGCTCTCTTAAGTCAGAAGGCATAAGAGAGGAAGAGAGTTCAGAAAAGAGAAAGGTCACTAGTTTTTCTAAGTCTATCCCTTCTCCAAAGATGAGGGATGTTTTTGACAGAGAAAAATAATCGGAATAGGTCTCCAAAAGTGTATCAGAAATGAAATTTCCACTCCGAGGGACCTCTCCTTTTTCAATTCTCAAAATTGCGGCTTTTTGTCCGTTAGCAATAAGATCAGGAGGAATGTTAGAGTGTTCATTTTTTCTTAAATCCCTAAAGCGGGAAGCGATGGTATGAGTTAAATGTTCTTGTAAATCAATCATATGACCTCAATTCTATTTAGCTTACACAACTAAATATCAGTTTTTCTGATATTATATAATAAAATCACAGTTTACGCAACATGGATATCACAAAAAATGATAAAAACAATGAAGTCATTATAAAAATAACACTTGTAAAAAGAGATCAGAAAGAAGGTTAAAAAGTTTGAAAAATAATATAAATGTCCCTTTTTAAAATTTATCATATTTAGGAAACTACTCTTGTATGAGACAATACCAGATAATTAGACACAGAAAAGAGAATCACTTTGGAAAATCAATGAAAAACTAGACAAAAAGTTAAGAGAGTTTAAGAGTTGCATTTTTCAAAGTCTTTTGGAGACTTATACTCAAGAATTATAATAGACAGAGATAAATCTCAGAAATGATTTAACAATAATCATGGATTACCCTGAGATAGGAGACCACTGAGTGAAATAATTTATATCAATATAGAGTTTTTATGTGAGGAATGTAAATTTCTAATCGAAATCTATTGAGATAAAGTAAAAAGTCTCAAAATTATGAGGGTGTTTTGCGTCACAAGCCCTAAAAATAATAATGGATAACGTAATAAAAAAGTCTAACAACGAGTTATCCTTTTTTATTATTTATAATTTTTAAGATTATAGTTGAACGTCCGCAATTTAATCTAGTATTGAAAAAGTTAGAGAATGACGATACTTTAATTGTGACTAAACTAAACCGATTTACAAGAAACACTTGAAAGGTTTGGAAATTGTCCAATCATTATTTGATAGTGGAATTAAAGTTTATAAATTAAATATTTGGCTTATCGATAATACGCCTACTGGTCGACTTATTTTTACCATCTTCAGTGATTTTTCGCAGTTTGAACGAGATCTTATTGTGACCAAGACCCAGGAAAGAAAAAAATTTTGCTAAAATTCATGATCCTAATTTTAAGTAGGATCATCCTCAAAAAATTAACTAAGAACAAATTCAATTTACTTATGAGTTGAAGCAGCAAGGAGTGACTTACAAGATGATTGAGCGGAAAACTGATATAAGTACTGCTACTCAGAAAAGAAGATTTATAAAGGAAAAAAACAAACTATTGATAAAGAATATTGAAATGTTATTATTTTGATAACGAAGAATTGTGGCAGAGTTATCTCACAAAAGGAATTCAGGAACATAGAACGAGTAATATGATACTAAGTAGAATTAAATAAATAAAAAAATCCGCTCTGATTTGAAATCTGTAGCGTATTTTATTAGATAAAATTATTATTTTCCAATCACGTAGTGAAGTTGCAGGGCATCAGAACTAGAGATCTCTTGATAATTAATTACTTCACTGAACCCAAGTCCAGATTGGGAGATCAAAATAGAGCCATCGGGATGAATTGCTTCCACTAATGCTACATGACCATAGGTAGGATCGGCTTGCCATTGTCCTCCAACAATTTGTCCTGGGCTGAAACTGACTGCACTATGAAGTTGGGGAGTAGTTGTGACTATATAGTTAGGATTGAATTGCCATTCCCCGCCATTTCCCATGGTTTCCCCATACTTTATACCAAATTCTTTTGCTCTATTATATACCCACCAGGTACATTGCTTATAAGAATAAACATCTGATGTGAAAGTATCAAGTAAAATTGGTTGATCCAATGAATCATCTTCTACAGTTGCGTTATCATAGTTTAGAGAATTCTCTGTTTGGGTCATTGTTTCTGTAGCGGTATTAATCATTCCTGCATGTACAACATTAGAATGAGCGAATGTAAAAGATACTACCGCAGCGTTAAAGGCTAAAAAAGAAACAAAAGAGCTGTATTTTTTTTTCATAGTCTATATTATAAAATAAAATCTTTATTATTTCAAACGTTGTAAAAAAATTACAATATCTACTACAAATATAAGCTGAAATTAGCTTTGAATAGAAATAAAAGGCTAAATACAATACTAAAAAACTTACTAGCTTATAAGAACTTGTAGAGTATGATTTTCGAGTTTAAGCCGTTAATAATACTTTTAATTAGTGAGAACAATGGGAATTATATCCGTTTTTTAAACTTCTTTGATTTTTTGAAAGTATTACTGTAGTATATATATAATGTTAAGCCTGTGAAGGTATTCAAAACAAGGTGTTTTTAATTAGTTAAAATTTTTCTATATCACCAATCGTAACTTATTTGTTACGCTAAGATTTATAATTGTTATTTTTAAAATAATTTGTTATAGTATAGCAGTAATGAAGTGGAGGATTACCCAAGTTTGGCTGAAGGGAACGGTCTTGAAAACCGTCAGACGTGTAATAGCGTGCGTGGGTTCGAATCCCACATCCTCCTTTGGTTCCGTAGTGTAGTGGTTATCACATCGCCCTGTCACGGCGAAGATCGCGAGTTCGAATCTCGTCGGAACCGTAGATTTATATTTGGGGAGTTACTCAAGAGGTTTAAGAGGATGGTTTGCTAAATCATTAGATCAAGAAATTGATGCGAGGGTTCGAATCCCTTACTCTCCTTAGGCACTAAATTATTATTAGTGTCTTGTTATTAAAGTTCCTTTGTCCAAAGCTAGGAGCTTTTTTAAATTAATTTAATCTAATTTTGGATCCCACTTCCAGAGCCTTTCGATCTATTATAAAGGTATGGGATTATACTATAATAATATCAGACTCAAAATTTTCATAAATAATTTTTATTACCCAATTTTAATAGTGTACTTTTGTATTCCGTATTATTGGACCTTGAGCGAAGAAGATTTACTCTCCTCATTATTTAGCTCCTCTTCGGAGTGATTTTTTTACAATAAAAAAATCACTAGAATTTTGTAAACTAGTGAAAAAAGATGTCCCAAGCATTTTTTAGTTAAAAACAAATCATAATTTTATGTTTTCAGAGGTACTTCATAGGTTTAACATCTATAGTTTAAATAAATAATAATTTTAAAATATGATATAATTAGTCTTCTTAAACATAGGTGTCAGCATTTGCTGACATTTTTTATTTTTCATGTAATAATATATAATAAATTTAGTGGACTTAGAAAAAATCATTCTTAAAGTATTATTAGCGATAATCAATAACAAAGTCCATACTTATTGATAAGCGTTGTTGGTTATCATGTTTGGTTCTTTAGCTTAGTGGGTTAAAGTCCCCCCCCCGCTCATATGGGGGGGGACCGCTGGTTCGAATCCAGCAAGAACCATAAAGTCAAAATACTATTAAGAGAAAATATGCTATCTCTTTACAGGTATAGAGAGAAAAGGTCGAACGTCTCCATGATTGATAGTTTAATTTGTTTCTACTTTTCAATTATTAAGAAGGGGATAGGTTGACAAGATTGTCAATCATTTCATGAAAAGTCGCTCAGAGGAGCGACTTTTTTGTATGAAAAATCCACCAGTTTAAGGGAGGGAACTAGTGGAGGTTCTAAACACTCATCAAAGGAAGCTGCTAAATTGTTGGATAAACCACTCGTCCAGGACAACATGTGGGAATTTGAACTAAGGGTGTGAATTGACACCTAAATATCTTTTTGAGGAACAGTAACGGGACTCCTATTTAAGGTTTTTTTACATAATAAGCATGCTTATTTTGTGTCTCTCCTAAGGTTTGTGCAAGCGTTTTTGTTTCTTTATCAATCACTCGTAAAATCCCATCCAATTCAACGATTAAGATATTATTAAACGTTGTATTTTTGTTTTGGATTAATATCGCTTTTTGTCCATCGGCTAAGATAATCTCTTCAGCTTGTTCAAGTATTTCATTTTTCATTCTTGATCCCCTCATTCATAAATTAATTCCTTTTAACGGAAATGTTTCATCATGACCAGAATTTTAAATATTGTAACTTAATTGAACCTTAAAGGCGCTGGAAAGATTTGATTATAGCTAATAAGTTATTCTATTTATCAGAATCATACAATCTTAACCATTTCACTAGACTATTTACGAAATTTAAATCTAATCGAAAAATGAGTAAAAATTAAAGTTTCAGAAAAACACAAGTTTTCTCGAAAGAGATAAAAACGCTTCCGCTTACACGGTGGCGAAAAAACAAGTGATAATAGAATAACCCTAGTGTACTAGGGTTAAATATAGTTAGACGTTAATAAGGAGATAAATGCTTAATATGAAAGGATATTTCAGACGATTATTCTATATTAGAAAAACATTTTCTCTTTATTTCAAAACAGCGCATTATATTATTTAAAATAACTATTGACATTCCTTTGACATATTTGTATAATATATAAATCTACTACACTGTAGAAGTTGAAACAAGGAATTTTGTTTGTGTTTAGAACCGCAATTACGATTGGCAATGATAAGCGATTCTTAAGCTTGTAAAGTAGTATCACTCTCACACAATGAATAGAATACGCTCTTATTACTGGACAATCAGAAAAAAATCACAAAAAGGTCACTAGTGAGTTGTAATAAATAATATTGAATTTTATAACTTTCTAGAATATCAACCAAGATAACTAGATATGATTCCCCCCCTGAATCATGGTATAATGGAGAAAATAATGTTTATAATTAATTATTCAAAAAAAGTAAAAAAAGAATCTAACAGAATCAAATGGCTTTCTTTTACACAGATCACGAAAGAAACAACCGCAGTCCTTTTAGCTTCAATCTTCTTTGCTCTTTTTTTAAGTGGGGTTAATTGGCTGTTGCAACAAAGCTTTATTCATGTATTGTTGAGATGACACTAATTTTAAAGCAATTCAACAACCAAGAGTCTTATTTACTAATTAAAAAAATTTGAAGGAGAAGTCAGTCATGTACAGCACTTTAGTTTATCTATTGGTAGTGATTAGCTTGCTTATTATCTTAGTCATTCTATCGCAACCCTCTAAACAGCAAGACGCCCTCTCTCTGCTGTCAACCGATAAAAGTAACACGCTTTTCGAAACTCAAAAACCGAGAGGGTTGAGTTATCTGTTAATGTATATAACGGGATTCTTAGGCGTTTTGTGGCTTATTTTAGGAATTGTTTTGATGGTTTTAGGAAACAATTAAACAATCTACTTACGATCTTAGATTAAAATATTTTATTCTCTATATTTTGGAATATTTTATAGACTAGTATCAAGAAAACTTTTGTTTTTCTGACTCAAGGGTAGATTGCGTTTTGTTTACGTTAGTTTAGAGTTTGATTACGCTTTGAATTTGATTAAAGAAAAACAAGGAAAATGAGGTGACAGAGGAATTAAATGACAGAAGAATCAGTGTTTTATCAGCGTTTGAAAACAGAAATTCAACTCTCGGGGAAAAATTTTAACCAAGTGGAACGAGAATTAGGTTATCCGAGAAACTCACTTAATAATTATAAATCTAATGCGACAGAGCCTTCGGGAATTCGATTAGTGGAACTTTCGGATTACTTTGGAGTATCTTCCGGTTATCTCATTGGCAAGAGAGAAAAAGTTGAATCAGAGTCGTTAAAAGTAAGCTTTCAAAGTCTTGGCTTTGAACAAAAGAGAGAATTATATGAAATTTGCCAAAATTGGGCTACAACCGAGCTTTCAAAAAGAGATCGCAAATAATAACAAGTGAATTTGAAGGGAAATAGAAAAAATGAATGTTTATAGCGTCAATAAAGGAATTGGCTACGCTTCAAGTGGGGTTGAATATGCCCAAAAGTATCGAAAGGAACTCTTTGAAAATCTTGAATTTAATGACCACTATGTCTTTCTAAATTATTTATCCAAAAATATAGCCGTCTATACCGATTTATTAGGTTATCAACGCCATCAAGTGCTTTGGATTTACAATGTGTTGAGTCATCGCCCCACTCATGCTACTACTTTTACAGTAAATCAATTTTTAGAAAGGTTTGCGGAAGAGGCTTATGAGATTTTGAATCAAACTCCAACGAGTTTGGAAATTAAAGTGACGGGGACACAACGTTATAAAATCTGGCTGTTGAAGGATGATCTCGTTGATCGCGTAGATTATATTGTCAATGGGCATCTTGTTAATGTGAGTCATTATGATCAAAGCTTGAACAACATTGAACATTTTAGTGATGGACAATTGGTAAGACGCACTTTTTATAATTTACAAGGTGAGAAAAGCTTTGAACAATTTTATACAGATCGAGAGATTACAGTGACATTTATTGATAACCAAATCCTCTACGGGAAAATGGCCTTCTATCAATATTTCTTTAAAACCCTTCAATTACAAAAAGAAGATGCGGTGATTATTGACCGTCCACTAGATGTAATAGAAGGAATTTTACCTCAACTTGTGGATCAAGTTCGCCTGTTTTCGGTCGTTCATGCGGAACATTACAATGAAAGTCTTTCTAAAGGGAGTCACATTCTTTGGAATAATAATTATGAGTATATCTTTGAGAACGCGGATTCTTTTGAGGGAATTATTGTGGCAACCGATCGTCAAAATCAAATTTTGAGCAGTCAGCTCAGAAAGAAAACAATGATTAAGACCATTCCGGTTGGTTATATCAATGAGATTAGTCAAAAAAGAAGCTATCGTCCTTATAGCTTAATTACGGCGAGCCGTCTGGCGACAGAAAAACATCTTGATCTTTTAATCAAGGCGGTAGTAGACGCAAAAGAAAGTGTTCCTGATTTAACCTTAGATATTTATGGAGAGGGAGGCGAACGAAGTAAATTAGAAGCCCTCATTCAGAAATATGACGCGAGTCATTTTATCAAGCTTTGTGGGCATAAGGACATAAGCCAAGTCTATCCAGACTATAGTGGTTATATTTCAGCCTCTACCTCAGAAGGCTTTGGGCTCTCGCTCCTTGAAGCTTTAGGTGCAGGTCTTCCACTGATTGGGGTAGATGTGGAATACGGAAATCGTGAATTTATTGAAACGGGTGAGAACGGAATTCGTTTTGAACGGACACCTTTAAAGGATATGCCTGAGCAACTTGAGAAAGCAATCATTAGCTTCTATGAGCAACAGTTGGATAATAAAGGACGGATGGTCTCTAAACAAAAAGCCAAAGCTTACCTCAAAGCTAATGTTGCGAAACGTTGGCAAGATTTATTAGAAAAAAGGAATGGACTTAATGAAAATTAATATTTTTGATCGCTACAATGAGAATACCAAAAAGTTAATACACTCTTTAGCTACGGCAGGTAAGGAGGCTAAAAGTTTATTCGTGCATTATGAAGGGGAGTTACCCAAAGGAGGGGTGAGTCCGTACTCTTTTTTCACGAAGCTTCCGGAAGAATCAGAGGAACAAGGGCTCTTTTTTGACCAAGTCATTATCCCGAAATTCTATGCGATTCGTCATCTTGACGGGGGAAGTGCCGCGATTGAATTTCTTCAAAGACGAGTAGGTCTGATTCATTATCGGAAAGAAGGCTATCGTTTGGTTCAAACGGTGGAGTGGTTCTCAAAGGAGGACTCGAAGACGATCGTTAAAAGAGATGTATATAATCTCGCGGGGCATCATTATGCGTCGACTTATTTTAGTGCAAAGGGACCTTATCAAACCGATTATTATAACTTGCAAGGGCAAGTCATTGTGAGTGAAGATCTTGTCCATCGAGGAATTCAATTGAATGAACCCTCGAAGATTCATCATTTTGAAAATGTGACTCAATTTTTCCTTTATTTCATGAAAGTGGCACAGATTGAACCTTCTGAGATTTATATTAATTCCTTATCTTATCCATTATTTATCAGTCGGGCTTTGAATATTGGAAGACAAACGACTTTATTTTGGCAAGAGGCGATGGGTCAAGAAGTTCCTGGTAACATGAAAAATGAACTGGAAAAAGCAGTGACCTTGAAACGGATAATTTTTGCGAATGAAAATCAGCTCACACAAGTAGAAGAAAGTTTTCCAGCGACTCCGATTGCTTTAGGTTATCTCTCTGCGATTGGTGAGTTTAAGCGATCTAATCACTATCGTCCTCAAGCCTTTATCCTCACAAACAGTGATAATATCTATGGCTTACAGGATATTTTGGAGAATTTTCCAGACCTTCAACTTACAGTGGCGGCTTATACCAATATGAGTACCAAATTGCTCCATTTGGAAGAAGAATACCCCAACATTCAATTGATTCCTTCAATTAATGAAGAGATGTTACAAGATGAATTGGAAAAGGCAGATATTTACTTAGACATTAATCGAGGGCTAAAGGTGGGTGAGGTTTTGAAATGGGCTTATGAACAAAACATGCTTATTTTCTCTTATAAAGAAGTGGCACAAGCTGAAGCTCATGGATTAGTTTTTGAAGAAATTCGTGATTTATGTAACCATCTCTCCTATCTTTTAACGGATCGAACGAATTGGCAGAAATTACTCACAAAAATGGTTGAGAAGAATGGGCCTCTATCTACGATTCAAGACTATCAGAACTTGCTAGATGCTTAACACTCTAAGCAAGAATCTCAAAAGGATAAAATTGGAAAGGTTTAAATGATGCGAACACATTTTCTAAAAGAAAAAATAGAGGCCGGGTTTGAAGATGAGAGAGAATTATTAGAACATGAGCCTGAAAAAAAGGCGAAGTTACCGGCCTTATCTTATGTCAGACCCGTCTTTTTTACGATTTTATTGACGGTGACCTTAGTTGCTTTGGCAATCAATGGGTGGACGGCAATAAAATTTTTCATGACACATTAGAAGCTAGGTTAAAATACAAAAATGTTGAAAATGCGGAAATATCAAAGGTTAGTCAAAAAAATTCATCAATTATTGCCCACCTATCGTGCAATGACTGATGAAACCTTACAAAATCAAACTGAGGTCCTTCAATCAATGCTTTCGCAAGGAAAGCCTTTGGTTGAACTCTTGCCACAAGCTTTTGCGGTGATTATTGAAGCTGATAAGCGAGTGCTTGGGTTGGAGCCTTATGAGGTCCAAGTTTTAGGAGGCCTTGCGCTTTTCTTTGGGAATATTGCGGAAATTAAAACGGGTGAAGGAAAGACGCTGGTCGCAACACTCCCTCTTTATGCGAGAGCTTTAGAAGGAAAAAAAGGAAATTTTTTAATCACGGCGAATGAATATTTGGCTGAACGTGATGGTCAAGAAATGGGACGCGTTTTTGAGTGGTTAGGATTAAGCGTAGGAATTGGGGTTGGAGATGAAGAGCAAGATATAGAAGGTAAACGCCGACTCTATCACTCTGATATTATTTATACGACTCACTCAAAATTAGGTTTTGATTACTTGTTTGATAACTTAGGCTCGAGTTTATCAGACCAAGTCATTTCTAAATTCAATTTTGCGATTATTGATGAAATTGATGCCATTCTATTAGATGGGGCTCAAACGGCTTTGGTTATTTCAGGGAGCCCAAAAGTTCAGTCAAACTATTATCAAATTTGTGATTGGTTTATTAAGAGTCTCGCTCCGGAAGACTATGAATATAGCGAGGATAAACGCCGTGTTTGGTTGACAGAGCGTGGTTTGGAAAAACTTAAATCTTACTTTGATATAGAGGATGTTTATGGCGAAAAATATAAGGATTTTTACCGACATATTGTTTTGGCTCTCCAAGCAAATGCTTTGAAAAAAAGAGGGAAAGATTATGTGGTGATTGATGGGAAAGTCTTGTTATTAGATGTTGTCAATGGACGAACGATGCCTGGTGTTAAACTTCAAGGCGGGATTCACCAAGCGATTGAGAGTAAAGAGGGTGTTGAAGTCAGCAAGGAAAGTAAGACTTTAGGAACAATCAGTTATCAGAGTTTATTTAAAAAGTTCGTTCGACTTTCTGGAATGACAGGAACAGCCAAAACAGATGAAAAAGAGTTTATGGAAACCTATCATTTGCAGGTGGTTGAAATACCTACTCATGTCCCGACTCAACGCAAAGACCAAGCTGATCAAATTTATGTGACGAATCAAACGAAAATCGAAGCCTCTATTCAAGCCGTCAGAGAAGGAATCGGTGAGGAACGCCCCGTACTGATTGAAACGGGTTCCGTTTCAATGTCAGATTTATATTCTCTTGTTCTTTTGGAAAATAAGATTCCTCATAATTTATTAAACGCTAGAACAGCAGCTCGTGAGCAACAAATTATTAGTGGGGCAGGGCGAGCGGGTGCAGTAACGCTTGCCACCTCAATGGCTGGCCGTGGGACGGATATCAAACTCACTTCTGAAGCTAAATCCAATGGCGGACTAAAAGTCATTGGAACAGAGCGGATGAATAATAAGCGAATTGATAATCAGTTGAGGGGACGAGCTGGTCGTCAAGGCGAACCAGGAGAAGCCGTTTTTTATGTTTCTCTTGAAGATAAAGTGATTGTTGAAAACGCCCCTCACTGGGTCAGAAAAACCAGACGTTTTCTTTTGCATCAAATTTCGCAAGGCAAAAGGGGTTCAACAGATCCTGTTCATCGTAGACGGCTTAATAGAGTGATGGATAAAGCACAAAAAAAATTAGGAAACTCAGAAGTACAGTCGCGTAAAAATACACTTGCTTTTGACACTATTTTGAGTGATCAACGCAATCGAATCTATGAGGCTCGAAATAAGGTGATGGCGGAGAATGAAGCCTATTTTGAACAAATTATCGAAAAAGCGCTCCATCATGTCATTTACACTTTCATTTATCAATCTGATGATCTATCTGTCCATACCCTCTCTGACTTTATTTTTAATCACCTTAAAAGTGATTATCCATTAAAAGAAATTGAAGCTCACATAGATTCTACAAGTTCTAAATCAGTAATGTATGATTATCTATTTGGCCTTGCCCAAACCTTAATTACTCAATCTCTCCATCGTTTTAAGGATCCAGTACAATTGCGTTATTTTAAAAAGGTCATCATTCTAAGAGCAATTGATCAGGCATGGGTTAATCAACTTGATTATCTCCAACAATTAAAAAATATGGTAAATGGTCGAGGAATGGCACAACATAAACCTTTAAATGAATTTGGACGTGAAGCACGCCGCCGTTTTTTTGAAATGGAAGATGAAATCTACCTTGGCGTTTTTAGAAGCCTTGCCTTGTCCGAATTAAAAATGAAAGAAGATGGGACGATTGAACTTGAATTTCCTTAAGATGAGGATACAGAAAGAAAACTATGAAGCAATATAATGAATTAATCAAAAAAGGGTGTTTTACCCTGATCATGTTACTCTTTTTCTATATTGGTCAAGGGATTCCAGTTCCTGGTTATTCGGCCAATTTTAGACTGCCTGGGGGAGATTTTTCGCTTGAGAAGATGTTGTCTTTGACGACAGGAGGCTTGTTCTCCAGCCCGACACTTCTTGCTTTGGGGATGGGGCCTTATATGACGGTTTCTATTTTACTTTCGGTAGGATTATTTGCGAATCGGGAGGTTGCTTCACAAATTTCTCAAGAGATGCGAGGGCGTTTAGAAATTATCGGGATTTTTATTATGGCCATATTACAAAGTATTCCTTTAGCTTTTAATTTAAGAAATTCTGTGATTTCCAAAATGAATTTCTTATCTCCTTTTGCCGTCTTTTGCTTCACCATTTTATGCTTTGTGGTGGGGGCGCTACTTATTTCGTGGCTGGCAAGTTTGAATGTCATTTATGGACTAGGTGGTCCTTTTATCCTGATTTTACCAGGTATTATGAAAGGAATCACCGGAAGCTTGGTCGCAAATTATAATAGTGTGTTGATTCACCTTGAACGTTTACTTCCGCTTATCCTTGCCACAATTGTATTTGTGGGGGTTACTGTTGCAATTTATTTTGCGGAATATCGTTTTGATGTGCAACGAATAGGAATTGATCAATATTCTAAGGAAGGTTATCTCGCGTTTCGACTTTTAATTGCAGGTTCAATGCCTTTAATGTTCGCGACGACTTTGATGTATTTTCCCGCTTATCTGATGCAACTCTTTCATTACCGAAATGAGTTCGTTTTAGGGCTCTTCAATGTGAGACAATTCAGTGGGATCTTGACTTATGGTCTGATTCTCTACTTATTAGGGATTTTATTTTCTTTTGTTAATATCATGCCCGATCAAATTACCAAAGATTTGAAAGAGTCGGGAGATTATATTGTAGGTGTCACACCGGGAGATGCGACTAAAAAATACATCAGCAAGCGAGTTTGGGGGGTGTCTTTAATTGGAAGTTTATTTCTTCCGCTTATTGTCACGATTCCTTTATTTGTTGGTTTAGTCACAGCACACCCCTCTATTTCTAATCTTTCCAACTATTTTGCCATGATTTTTGTCTTGGTGGTCATCTATGACAACTTGCAACAAGATGTCAAATTCCTTCTTTACAAAAACAACTATCAATTATTCGGAACCAATCGGAGGACTTTTTAATGCTTTATTTTTTGACAGATTGGTCATCTGAGTCTCCTCAGCTTGAATCAAATATTTTGTTTAATATCAACACCATTTTTCAGGAAGGTGAATTTGAGACAAAGCTTATCAATACTCACTTCTCGCCCTTCTTAAATTATTACATGAATAGATTTGAGAGTTATGATTCTGATCATTTCATTTCACTTATGGATACAGTGACTGATCGGTTTGCTTTAAATTACGCTCCGCTTAACCTAAATGATCTGGACTTTCCAAAGGATTGGGAGCGGACGTACACGCGAGGAAGTGTTCTATTATCAAAAGAAGAAGTAATCAAAGCAGAAGTTTATTTTAATTCCTTTGGTTTTGTGTCACAAGTCCATTATCCAACTCCTTTAGGCAAAGAAATCCAGGTATATTCTGAAAAGGGAACGCTCTTAACTCAATCTTCTTTTGATGCTTCGGGAGAAGCAATTGAACAACGGATTTATGATGAGGGAGGGCAATTGATTTTAACCCAATGGGGAGGCGTCGTATTTATTGAGGCGACCTATCAAAAGCGCTTTAAGAAAAAAACTTACGACTCTTTCAAGGAAGTCTGTATGGAATTGCTTCACCTTGCGTTGGTGAACTTTAATCCTAAAGAAGACCGTCTTGTCGTTGATGGAACAAACGATTGGGTGATGTCTCTTATTGAAGGGATAGAATTTCCTGGGGCAGTGGTGTACATTTTCTCAGGATCGATTGAACTTGGCTTTTCACAGGTGGAAGAACATTTGAGATTGATTGAAAATGGGAAAGCAATGATTACTGATAATCTTCGTTTTCAAGCGGCGATTGAGAAAGGAAAAGAGCCACTTCAAAGTGAGCTTCACTTTATGCCTCTTTTTCCCACAACCCTGAGTTTAGGAGAGAGTAATAATTTTTTAGAAGGGACTGTCTACTGGCAAATTGAAGCCTTTGACACCCAAACAAGTGCTCTTTTTGTAAAATTTTTAGAGATGAAGTTAACGACTCGTGAGCTCTGTTTAACGCTTGAGAGTGAGAAAGCAACTGATGAAACCAAAGTTGAAACCCAGTTAAGCCATTTTATCACTAAAAATTTTGAAATTAGTTTGAGTTCTTCTGAGTATGGCTTGGTCAAACAATATTATGAAGCCCTTGAAAATGAAGAAATGACGCCTGGTTTACGTGACTTGTTTCAAGCGAACAAACGAGAAAACTCGATGTTTAGCCATGTGATTGACGCCTATATGTTTTATACAGACATTTCGTTTAAAAAAAGTGGCAGTGTTGAAGCTTTAAAATCGGATCTTCAAAAGGTGAGAGTGTTTATTGACCACCGACAAAAATACGACTTTTTAAGTCACTCGTTAGCAGTCAGTGCTGGGATTCCCATCCTATCAAAAACGCCTTCTCCTTATTTAGTGCATAGGAAAAATGGCCTTCTTTATGAAGATGATGAGGATTTAGTAGAAGCCGTTCGTGCTTATTTAATTGATCCAGACCTTTGGAATCAAAGCTTGGTTGAGAGTGTTGAGGTGATTGAAAATAATAGCGCTGAAGGACTGATTGAAAAATGGAAGGAGGTCTTAAAGTGAGTGAACCATCAAAAAAACTTTTCCAAATTGGGGGAGAACGTTTGCCAAAGCTTTCGGAGTTAGTAGAAGCTTATGATTATCATCCGCTTGAAATCAGTGAAGGGCTCAAAGGGGAGTTGCTTCAATTACAAGCACTAGAAAAAGATGAGATCAACAATTCAACAGATTTGTTTTTACTTCGGAAAGAGGCAATGTTTGAGCTGGAAACCATTGATTTAATTCGCTTACCCAGCCATCAAGTCTTTTATGAGACTTTAGAGGGAGCAAGTGAAGCTGAAGTTAGTATTCTTAAGTTAAAAGGCGCTCAACTCGTCAATTTAACAGATCAAGGTGAGAGTTTCAGTCAATTTATCAACCAGAATTATGTGAAACCTTGGGGGACGAGTCTTGATCATCGTCGGGTCGAAATTCACCCTGATTTTGAGGGGACTGTTACTAAAAAAGGATCTAGTAAAATTGTCCTTGAAGGAATATTTGGCTTAGATGATTATCAACAAGTTCTGGTCTGGAAAAATAATTGGGGGGGCTCTGGTCGGGTTAAATTTTATCCCGAAATTAGTGCTTCGGAATCTGTTTCTTATTACTTTCGCGCTTATTATAAAAACGGCACAACCCATTCGGGAATCATCACCCATGATTTTTCCGCAGAACAAATCAGGGCTGGAGAAGTTTTTTTTGACTTGGGCTTCTCAGAATTTCCAGTCAATTTTGGACTTTTTGTCAAAGGTCAAGGGAAGGTTCAAGTTGGAGCACTTCATTTGCGATATGGTTTATCTGGGGAAAACTTTTTAGCAATGGGTGGGAAACGATTGGTTCAAAAGGGAGATATGGGAGAAGAGTTAGGCGTTTACTTCAATGGAGGTGACCTTAAACCTCCGCTTAATGTCTATTTCTCAGGATTTCGTCCTTCTGAAGGGTACGAAGGCCGCTGGATGATGGGAAGCCTAAGTTCCCCATTTATGCTTGTGTATGATCCTCGTCTGGTTGGGGGGGCATTCTATCGTGGTCCCGAATTAGAAGAAGCTTTAGTCAAAGAGATACAAGAAAAATTGGATTTATTAGGCTTTAGCAATAAGGAACTTGTATTGTCTGGGCTCTCCATGGGAACCTATGCTTCATTTTATTATGGGGCACAACTAGAACCTCATGCGATTGTAGTAGGGAAACCTCTTGCGAATATCGGAGGGTTAGCTGTCCACTCAAGAATTTTCTCACCTTATGATTGGGATCTTGCGATGGATACGCTTATCCATTTAACGGGTACGTTGACAAAGAAAAGTGCGACAGCTTTAGATGAAGCTTTTTGGAAAAAATTTGAAAGTGCAGATTTCTCTGAGACGACCTTTATCATTGCTCATATGTTGCAAGATACCGATCTTCCTTTTAAACGAATCTTTAATCATTTGAAGCAAAATTATCCGAGTGCTAAGGTCTTACACAAAGGGTTGGAAGGCCGGCATAATGATGATACTCCCGGTGTGACGAGTTGGTTTTACAAACAGTATCAACAACTTCTCATTTCTGATTTTGATCGTCAATTGCTCATTGATGAAGAAGCGTCGCCCATTAATTTAGAAGGAGAAAATGATGAGTGAGATTTATCTTATGCGTTGGCCACAAAATTTATCAGCAGTCTATGTCAATGGCGCTACGATTCGGTATTCTAAAGATCAATCTGTTTACTATGCCAATGAAGTTTTGTCTCCTGGTCAGATTATCTGTACCTGGGCGTCTGCGACAGATTATCTGGTAAGTGGTAATTCGCCTTCGCTCCCTCTTCTAAAAATAAATAGAACTTATGAATTAAGTCTTCGGTTAAAAGCGGATAATGACCTACCTGTCCAAGTCCAAATTGATTTTTTGGATGGACACAAGGAGATTCTTGATTCCTATCGTGGGACTGACCCTCGCTTGGTGTTTACTGTTCCTAAAGGAATGGTTTCCTATGAAGTACGTCTGGTTAATTTGAAACATGAGTGGCTTCACTTTGAATCTCTCACTATTGGGGAAATTGGAGCAGTAGAACGAATTTTTGAGGGGACATCTAGAAAACACTACGACTGGGTTCATGTTCGCCCCCTTAGAGGATCAAATCAGAAAACGGTCCAATTGATTGTCAATCAAGGCCCTAGAAGTATCTTACCCCTTTCATTAGATGAACGGTGTG